ATTGTAATTGGCAGCCACAGAATCACTAGAAGGCTGACACTGATGACCAATTTGGGAAACAATGTGACAGTAAGTCTTATAACTAAAGTGTGTTCAGAACCTATGGAGCACAGAGTAGTTGCTGTTATAAAGCCATAGATATCCTCTACATGATTCTTTTCAACATTACTGTTGGCTCATATTGATATAGGATATGGGTTGGATAGTTGGATAGTTGTTTCACAGTCTTTGACACAAGCAGAGCAGAGTTACACCCAGTTAAGCTCAGGCTCATCTCTGGTTTCCCTCCCAGTATCTACTGTATCACTCTGCTGGCAGAGGGTGACGGTGAGATTTTGTTGCCTACCAACAGAAGACATCACAAGCCCTCTCATAGCCTGGTGCTGAGTTTAGGGTCCCTGCCAGCCAACCATCAGCATTCCCAGTTATTCATTCCAATTAGACTGGACTCGCTGACGCTGGCTGAGCTCTGCAGTACTGTAAGCTACAGGGGGATTCTCTATTGTCCTTATCATAGAATTGAACCAATTCTCAGTAAAGCTAGCAGCATAAATCCGTAAAATTGTAGTTAAGATGCACTTATCATTATTTTTTATATTAAAACATTATAATACAACAAAAGTTACTATAACTGTGTACTGTCAATGGTGTCCCTTATAGTGAAGAACCCACAATGATATATCACCAGCAATGGAGGTCTCCTCAGTTTTATCAACCTTTTAGCTCCTTTAGCCTTATGTTTTGGTTCAGTCTCACCATTCTGATCAACCATGTTTCTAGCTGCAGCTGGCTGCTGTTTTGATATGACACATATGTTGCAATCCAGAGCGAAATTGTAACCCAGCTACATCTGTCATCTGTAACTCTCCATGAAAGTAGAGAGCATGCAGAGGTCACTGACCTTTGGAGTCTTGTTAATAAAGTAAAGCTGATCTGAGGGAAGCTGCCTATTATCCTGATCCTTGTCTGTGTCTCTGTAATGATGATTCTTATATCAATCATAAGTTAAAAGATAGGTTCACAATATTTCAAACCTAAACAATGGGCAAAGGAGTTGTATTTAGCCCTTAATTAGTTGTAGGTGTGTTTTGGGAATAACATTAATTCAACCAATTATAATGTCATCCCCCATGTTCCAGCAGCTCTGCAGCTCTGCTCTGATCTCTGCTATGTTCACATTTTACAGAATGTCATTCATATTTTCCTCATTAATTATTTCACCTATCCATCTACGTGTCCCTGTGTGTGTAACAAGCACATTGTACAGGTATTTTTGAACCTGGCCATGTAGGCACATCTTACAATCTGAATAATGTACCCTTTACATTGCAGGAAAATACTGCCCTGCTCGGACTTTAGACCAGGTATTTTTTGGTCAGTTTCTGCTGCCTCAAAAAAGCAATCCGCCAGCAAGGTGCCTGATCACACTTCATGTTACGACCTACACACCCATCTGCACAGAGATGGGCCCGAGTACATTTGTTACGTATACAATAGGCGCTGACTGTGAAAATGATCAGGGAACAATGGGGAAACCATTAAGGGCTTCAGTTCCCTATCTGTGCTCTAGTCTGCCTCAATCAGTTAGCTAGTTTGTGTTGTTCTGTGATTTAAGGGAATCTGAACTAACCCTTTAAAACAGCAAAGTCACACAATAACACAAAAAAAACAACTGATGGAGACAGTGGTAGACCAGCAGCTTTTAAGCTCAGCGATCACTCTGTTTCTCAAAGGAGTCTGGCTTTGAAGAGAGCAATATAACGGCTTCAGTTCCCTGTAAGAAATCGCTGTTAAACGGCAAGGTAAAGCAGTGAAAATATCCTAAATTTAGCATACATTAAAACTAATACTGATGTTTTTAGATGGCGAAATACGTTTTTCTGTTACCTCCCTGTCTACAGCAATACATTGTTTAGTTTCCATGATGGACTCCAGCCTGCTTCTCCAAACTGGGGGTGTGCCGACTGACATCTACTGTAGGTAATACACTGACAGTGGATAAGTACCTCATACAACCCCACCTCAAAAGATCTGAACTATCCCTTTAACAAAGCTGGGTAATGCCCATCGATGTTTTAAATTCAACTGAGTTTCAGAAGATACCAAATATTAGGGTGTCTTTTAACGACAGCTCGGGATATTCCCAGTGACCAAATAAATGGCAAACCAGGTATTTTAAGCCAAACCATATTGGTTATCCACTGCTTACCAAGGGATTTTTGTTCCCAACCTTACCACATGTTAACCAAAGTACTATCACAACACAAAATTGAAAACTGACACATAAAGAATACATATCCGCTACATATGAACTGTACAAATGCAACATATCTCTGGTTTGTAGAAATGTGCAATGCCAACATTTATTCTGTTGGTTGGCATCTTTGATATGGAAAATTTGTGGCTAACAATACACAAGGCATCTATGATATATCTTCATAATAAATATATGGCATCTGGGGTATGAACATTTCTGTGGTGGTAGACAAAACAGACTGGAATGAGGAGGGGAAATGGATACAGTACAGTTATGTCATTGGTCCGGTCATCTGTGTGGTGTTATTAAAATTCCCTCAGGCTTTAAGTTTTTCTTATTTCCTCCTTCATCTTCTTACTTCTGCTTCCACTTGTTAGGGGATAGAGATGTTCTCAGTACAATCTGACACATTTAAAAGGGCACTCCACTGATTGATATGTCAGCATCAATTTACTCATCACAGTTAATGCTAATCAGCCTGTAAAAACAGCTTAGTCAGGAGAGGCTCGTTCTGAGAGAAAAGAATATTTATTTACATGAGCACTTAAGTTGAGAAATGTGAAAAGTCTTTGGCAATTAGACACCATCGTGATGTCATCTATTCCAGGAGGGTGGTAAAGACGTAATAGATTAGGGACCCCCCCAACCATCCTGTCATCCCCTCAATGACAAAGTCAGCTGATACACTACAGTATGTCATTTAAAAACATTGTTATGATACAAATGAAATGTACTCAAATGGGCTAACTGTTGTGGAAAATGACACTTATTCAACACATCTACTATATTCTCACAGATAAACACCAGAGGTCAGAAGTCAGGAATCTTCTTCAGACTTACACATATGCTTTTGTAACTTTCCCTTGCTACCTTGCCATATTTTACCACAATTTCCAGTAGCCATGTGTTTATGTGAGGTTTTTCAGATAAAAACTTTAATGATCTTGATGGTGATAATTCCTTACAGAATTATATGATGGCAAAATTAAACATGACCTACTTATGCTTTGTACCCCCTAGCATCTTTCAAAGGCCCCTGGAGGTCCCTGGCCCTCAGACTGCCCCCTGCTGACAGAGACTAACCCCCTGAGAGTTTCAGCAGTCAAACGTGCCCACTGGCTCACTTCTCATGGGGGTGTGTTGTTGCCGGGTTGTTGTCACTTGGGTGTTTATCTGCCAGACAGCCTTCATCTGAGGTGTCACAAAACCCTGCATACATTCCTTCCTGTCTAACATAGCTGCACTTTGCACATTTTGCCCTGGTGCCTATATTTGAGCTTGGCATGTATTTAAAAACAACAAGTGAGTTGTCTGTCTGCAAGGAGCAGTGGTCCGTTGGTCCAACAGAAATGAGGCAGTCAGTGGATTTTTTGTGGACTCATCTCTTAAAATGAAAACAGGCTTGGATACTGTAATGGTTTCCTTCTATTGACATTTTCAAAGTGGATGTTTGACTATTCCTTTTGGGGCTCTGTTATTGACAGGAGTGACTAACCCCTTTGACAAGAAATGCAAAGTTAATAACAGCAACTTCACACAGTGGCTATGGCTTAGGGGCCCCGTGAGCCCCTGGGCCACCTGGTAGGCCCTTTCTGTCATACACTCATGATCAGGGGCATTGTAGTGGGGGGAAAAGTGGGACTGATAACCCAGGGCCCCAATGGCAGGGGTGGTTCTCGAAAAGCCTTGAATGAAAAGTTTGGTTTTGTTTGCAATTTCTTATTTCAAAGTAATCAGTACTACAACTAAACTAAACTAAAATTGGCTGAATAAAACTGTCAAAAGATGAAGTACAAACTAAAAATATAGTGGAAGTTCTCTAAGGTCCCATCAACCCTTGTTGTAGTCCACCCCTGCGCTAGGGTTTGTCTTTAAATGCAGCTCAAGCTAAATGAGTGACTGCACCAACGTACACTGTCATGTTTTTCCCAAAGAAAGAAAACTCTGGACTTTAAAAAAGAAAAGAACAAAAGGAAAGGGGCAGAAAGCAAACAGGCTTTGTAAATAAATAAATAAATAAATAAATGGATAAGTTGTGTGAGGGAGATATGGATCAACAGAGAAGGGGCAGGGGGCCCCGAGAAGATGGTTTTGCACAGGGCCCAAAATTTGATGCTACAGTGTTTAGTGTTATAATCAGCAGATGCAACTGTATAATAACCATCCAAATTATAGATGGTTTACAAATCAATTATCAACCATCAACAAATACTTAATAATATGGTGTGTAAAACCTTACGATGTGTGCAACAAGAAATTGTTCAGATACTGTAAGTTATAGCATTGCTCAAAATTGGTGAACATTAAAAATCATTATTTCATTGTTTGCTACAATAAAATAGTAACTATTGAGTAGCCTATTTAATTAACTATCAGTTTGCTGTTTATTAATGATTGATGACTGTAAAGTATTACCCCTTTATTTTTAAATCATGGTCAGAAATAAAACAAGGTTATCATTTAATTAATGTTATAAGATATTTCCCATATTTAAGTAAATTAAATAGATTTGTGCACCCTATTAGTTTGGATTTTTTACATAATTATAATATATTGATGTTCTGTTGTGGAATGAGTACTATAATCATATCTAATGAAGTCATTTTGCAGGGATGTCCTCTCAACGACCCCTATGGGTCCGCGGGCCTCAGCTTGAGAACCATGTGGCCTAGACACTAGTAAGTAATGTCTCTGGTCCTTTTTAGATTCTCGGCTTTAGGCTTCATATCGCGGTGAAGAGGAATGTCTGGAGCGCTCCCCTGTCATCAGACTGTCTGTCCAACCGGACACGGAGCACCATCTCTGCCCGGAGGACTGAGGAATCCTGGGAGGCTCCGTCTCTCTGCCGTTTCTTTCAGACACCAGATGTAAACTTAAACCTGCCGGTTCAGCTATGAAGACAGGGCAAAGCTGTGTGGAGACACCGGCGCCTCTCCGGGAGGTCAAAGAGTTGCTCCAGAAACTGGCGCGCGGAGAAGAGGATGTCCCGGAGAAGCAAGACGAAAGCAAATACGTTGATTTGGGGTTAGCGGACGTGAACACAGGCGGAGAAAAATTGGGGAAAGACTGTCACTTTGGTGAAAAAACCCAAATGTCTGTCCTTATTGAGAGCAGTGGTGCCGGAGCTCTGCGCGCAAGGGAACCAAACCATGAGCTGGCGATTAAAACCAATGCTGAAACTGAGAAGAACAAGGAGTCTGGAGTTGGGAAATGTGCAGAAGATGTCAAAGAGGGTCCCTCTGATGCATCATCGTTGTCAGATCCCCCTTGTCTTAACGCAAAATCAGAGGATTGCCTCCAATCAGGAGACAAAGGAGAGCCCGCCATGACGCAGGCCGAGGTGTCCAAAGAAGAAGACAACAACAAAAACACACCAAAAGATAAGGAATTACACGGTAGTGATAACTACCTGAGCGGGGAAAGTGAGTCGGATAATTGTGAGGATGATGATGATGTTAGTTTGGTGCTTTCCGACGACTGCCTCCCGTGCGTAACGGAGGACGAGTCCCATTACATTACCACGCACGAGATCCAGCTCTCAGAGCTCTCTGACCATGGGGAGGATTACGACCTCGGGGTGGGCTCCTCCACCAGCTGGGACATTGAGGATGACAACCAGGTGTACTCTTTTGTCGATTACGCTTCTTTTGACGGTGATGGAGCGGTGGGGCAGAGGGGGGGCGGCCACGAGCCTTGCTCTCAGGGCGCAACAGCAGTCAGCACTCTGCTTGAAAGTGATCTGTGCGACGCGGCCAAGTTCACCAGCTCAGATGAGAGTGTGTCAAAGCCCCAGCAGCAGCAGTGCAGTGGCAACAGTGCGGGACAGATCCACCTGTCAATCAGAACTACTTCTCGAGCTATAAATGACCCTAGCAACATCCAAGAACAGGGAAATATCCTTTATCATGCCAGGCGCTCCGGAGACATGAGCCGTTATGTGTTTAGGGGTGTTGATGGAAAGGCAGAGACGTTGTGTGACAGGGCGAAGTGCTTCATAGCAGCGCCCGGACGCTTACACTTTGGCCGCAAATTGAGGGGAAAAGAGGTCACCGAGTATTCCAGCGGTGCGTCCAGCGCTGTCAGCGACCTGGACGACGCTGACAAGGAGGTGCGCAACCTGACAGCCAAAGCCTTCAAGAGCCTGGCTTATCCTTATTTTGATGCCATTAATTTCAGCACCTCCAGTGAGTCATCTGCATCAGAGCATGGGAAGGGGATAAACAGGTGGTCCACGTTTGTTGACCTGAAATATGGCAACATGAATATGTCACAGGGACTGGACCAAAGTGTCGTTTCCCATCAAAACTCAACGGCCTCATTTGAAATAGCCAAAAATATAGACAGTAGAGGTTATAAGGGTATTGCACTGGCAAACATCAAACCGCCCACCAGCAAGATCTTCACTCTGAATGGCAACCCCCACAGCGCATCATCATCTACAAAGCAAATAGAACTGATGGGGAAATTCAGTCAGGGCCAGAGTGGAGTGATCCGACTCACAGAGACTCTGAATTTTCGTTGCAATGTCAAATCAGGAATGTCTGGGGGAGAAAGGCACACTAACTTTGCACAAAACGCTGCAGGATCACGTTCCACATATGAGGTTACCAACAGTTTGCCAAGCAGCCTGAGCAGAGGGGCCAGCAAGTTGCCCTCCAAAACCATGGATGACACACAGAAGAAAGCCATATTCGCCTCGAGTCTGATCAAAAATGTGATTTCTAAGAAGATGCAGTTCGAGCAGGAGCGCAAGATGGAAAGAGGAGAGATAAGTGAGCCGCCTTCCTCGTGCGCTGTGCACCAGGACAGCGACAGGGAGAGAAGCAGCAGGCAGCTGCAGAGACAGAGCTCCAAGTTTTCCGACAGCAGCTCTGACTACGTTATTATGTGCGTGGATGAATTAGGGGACATCGTGGACAGCGGCTCATGTGATAGCAAGAGCAACTCTCGAAGACATGACACGACCGCTCCCGCACCAGGAACTAATTTGGAACCAGCGATTGAAGCTGGAATCGATACTAAAAAAGGCGCATTGGAAGCGTCTAAAAGCACGCTGCTTCGCAGCCAAAATAGCGCATTCAGATGCTGGAAGGACGAGGAGCTAGAGTTTCAAAAGGATCATAAAAACGATAAAACTCGGGAGAAGTCGCTTTCAGCTAACGACAAAGAGGGTGACGGAGATCAGTACTCAGCGAGCAGCGGTAAACCGACTAAAATGTCACATTTGTTTGTGCCAAGTATCCAACTGCTGCCCAGTGACGGAGAAGTCGGACAGCAGCTGCAGAACAGGAATTATTCTCCAAATGGAGATGAAGGAGGGACACAACTGCGCTCTGACAACACGTTATACATCGCAGACTCCAGGACCGTGGCCACATCTAAATCTCCGGAAATTAAAATTAACTTAAGGAGCGTCAGGGACAATAAAACTGAGCCTTTCGGCGTCTCCAAATTGCGCGCTCCTAATATAGGCTGTAACGCAGCCAGCCTCATCAGAACAGATGACTTCAAATGCCAGGCTCTGGCTGCAGCTCTGAAGGGTGAGTCGTCAGATAAAGTGCCGCATTTCATGGTCAGAGACATTCGAGATAATAAAGGAAAGCTGCAGACGCCCATACACCAAGTGAGAGACGTGCGTAAACTGGTGAAAAGTTCCTATCACTTTGTTTCTTTGGATAACAACGAAAATAAATCCAACTTTTTATCTGCTGACGGCCATTCAGAGCAAAAGAAGCAAATGTCCCATCGAAATCCTAATTCTGTGTCACCTATAGTGATCAAATGTCAGTCTGTGAATACAAACAGTAACGGAAAACAAGCTGGGAATCTTACTGAGTTATCTAACCTGGAGCCGTTTGACACGGATAGATCGTCGCCAGAGGGCGCTAAAAGTGCTCCAGTGCAAAGAGCAGCAGGGAAAGCACCCATAGGTAACTCAAATAATACCTCAGATGGAGCCAGTGGATTGAGAATTGAAAGTGGAACGGCTCCAAAGATACAGGAAAAAATATCAGATATCACAGATAAGAAAACTGAGTCAAAGATGACAAACCAGGGAGCTTTAGAAAAACTGCAGGCTGCTGTGAAAACCATGGAGCAGCTGTATTCATTTGAAAGGAATGAATGGAAAAGGAAGAATGAGCCCCAGCTCCTGACAGACAGCCATGTGCTTTCACTGATAGCCAGTGAGGAGCATATGGGACCTGAGGAGGAAGGAGCAAGAGGGTCTAACATGGACAAGATGGTCAGAAGAGACTCCTACCCCAACAATGACAAGACACCACCAGCGGTAGCAGCGACCCCCGGCACTGACTGCCTGCTGAGGCGAGAGGATAAAGACCCCCCCGTGGTCCTACAGACTCCTGCCAGCCGTGATGACAAGCTTGTTACAAGGTCAATGCCAGCCACCAGCACCACAGGGAACAAAAACATGTTCAGCCTCAGCTCAAGCCTCAAGGCCTCCACATCGGCAAAGACGCCCCAGCCAAACACCATCACACAAACACCTTTTAGCCCGAAAAGCTTCGTACCAAAGTCTCCAAAATTGCCTGTGTCCTTAAAAATCAGCCAGACGAAACTGAGTGGAAATGAAGGAGCTGAATTTAAGGAAGTAGAGAGGTCCACACAGGAGCTCTTGAGCGCCTCGGCTGACAATGAGAACTACCTAACCATTCCGGTCAAGTCTCATGCCAGCAGCAACAAACAAACCTCATCTGCTGATAAAACATCCATGTACACATTTACCACCCAGACACAACCAACCACTCCTTCAGGACACTTGGCATCCAGCACCAGGGGCTTGGAAGACCACAACCAGACCCCTAAACGCTCCAGCATTGTGATGGACACACGCTCACCAGAGGTCCCATCTGCCACCATCTATCACTCTTTGCCACTGGGCATGACTGCCAGTCAGCCTCAGGTGTACTGCTTCTCACCAGCAATCACCCCTGCTCCCACCCTGGACCCCTTCCAGGCCACCCAGAGGAAGATGCTCCTGGATCCCACTACTGGAAACTACTATCTAGTGGACACTCCTGTGCAGCCGGCCACCAAGCGCCTCTTTGACCCTGAAACAGGCCAGTATGTGGACGTGCCCATGCCGCAACCTCCTATGACCCCAGTGCCCATGCCCATCTCACCTCTGGCTCTCAGTCCAGGAGCATATGGACACACCTACATGATCTACCCAGGCTTCATGCCGACACCTTCCATGATTCCGGCCCGGACACTGGTGCAGTCGCAGATATCAGTGCAGTCAGAGGCGGAGAGCAGAGAAAAAGCCTTGTCGCAGCAGACAGAGAGCATGTACATGGAGAGTCCCTTCTACATGGCCACTGGAAAATCTCCCCAGGCGGCCTCTGGGGCTCAACAGCAGGCCGCTGGCAACAGGCTATCGCAGGGCTTCTCCAGCGTCAAGCAGCCGGTCATCAGCATCACCTCCCAGCAGGGGCCCCGGATCATAGCTCCGCCCTCGTTTGATGGGACCACCATGAGTTTCGTGGTGGAGCACAGATGAAGGGCAACTTTACTGGACAGGTGAGTAGTTCTGACTGTTGACCTTGTGTATGTACAGTGTCAGGCTTCAGTGAATGAGGATGATGTATTATGTCATGTGAGTATACTGACTATATGAGTTGTTAGGGGTAGTTTAAAAAAGTGATTTTGGCGCTGCACAAAACCCTTTTAAGTTCATTAGAATCATAGATAACTTTTTCTTACAATATAATCAAATGAAACAATCTGAATTTCTATTACAGTACTAGAGACATTCATTCATTGGTTTGTCTCCCACAAATCTAAATAGGATGCATGAGTGACCAAATCTCTGCATGCGTTCTTGTTATTATCTGCTTTCGATATCCAAGATGGCGACGGAACTAGTGTAATAACCATTACAATAGTACTACTGTTTCTCCTAATTCTAGAAGATGGTACTGTAACTGGAGATATAAAGATCACTCTTGATCTTGAAAACATGAATTGACAAAATGATTCTCATGACCTGCAACTTCTAGTAACCACTGGTGGAAAAAGTACAAGGATCCTTAACTTAAGTAAAAGTAGCAATACCTCATTGTAAAAAAAGCACTACATTCAAAAGTAGAGATGTGTTACTTATAATACTTGTGTATTGTCCTCAGAAATGTTGTCGAAATACTTAATGTAAGTACAGGACCTGAGTAAATATACTAAGTTACTTCCACCACCACTAGTAATGCTGCAATTTTTGATGCTTTTGATATCACAGTATAGAACTGGTCATGTACTTTAAAGCTCCCATATTGTGAAGAGTCAGATTTCCATGTCTTTTTAGAAATAAAGCAGGTATATGTGCTATATACTAAATACTGTGAAAGTATCAAAACTCTCTGTCCACAAAGAAATGCACGCAGTTTGTATTAAGAAACTGCCTTAAAATGAGCCGTAAGGATTTCTGTGAATTTGTGATGTCACAAGTATACTATATAGATCATTAGAAACATAATCATTCTAAATAGGTCATTTTTGTGTTTCATGTTGGAATGTTTTGCAGTGTATGTGAATGACATCAGCTGACTGGAAGCAAACATGGACCCAAGCTGTTGCTTAGCAATGTCATTTTAGTGACAGGGCCAAAAGGGTGAACATTTTGAACACTAAAGCATGTAAACATGTTCTAGTAGAAACCTAAAACACAAGTATGAACCTGAAAATGAGCATGATATGGGACCTTTAAAGGGAGACACTCCAGGTGAACAGGGCAAAAGTTTGAACTAACTGAAATCACCACAAAACTCCCCCACTTGATTACTTACAGTAAGACAATTATTATTATTTTTTATATTACAAGTTTTCTGAAATTGAATGTTTAAATATGCAAACAAGGTATTATCTAATTAAATATATGCTCATTTGCAGACATTTCCAGAACAAAAATCTGAATATTGGACAAAGTCAAATTCAATATTCTTTGTTGTCATATTAGAGTAAGAGTTTTTTAAAGAGGGAATTTTGGATATCTGTTTATATTACTCCATAAAATCAGAAAATAGCCATAAATAAACATTTTGTGCGACATTTTTAGGAATTAAATGTAATATAGATCGGGCTTTATGATATATGAACAAACCCCTTTGTATAAACCTTCAGAATATAGATGGGAATACAACTGGAAAGTCTGAACTATGTAAGTCTGACTGAAGTGGCTCAGAATATGAGAAAAGAAAAACTTTTGAAAGAAAAACATTTTGAGAAAACAGGCTTTAAAGATTTGTGTTGTAAAATTAATTTATACATTTACAGACAAAAACTAAGGCATTGCAGGTGAATAGGGTAAAACTTTTAACTAGCAGATATCACCATAAAACTTTCTCACGGTGACTTCTTATATTAAGAAAATTATTTTTCGTATAGTGAGTCATGTGAAATGTTGCGTTTAAATTTGTAATTGAGGCACTGAATATTGAAAATGTGCTATTTGCAGAAATTTCCAGAAGAGAAATCTGAACTAAAATAAACACCTAAATGAATATTTTGGACATTTTCTTTCCACTAGTCTGAAAGAGGACGTGTTATGAACCTGTGTTTTCACCTGTTGTGTCTCGCTTCAAAGCAAAAATAATTTGGTACAAGGATTAGTAAGTGCTTTGCTGAAAAGTGACACATAAGGAAGAAGACACTGAAAAAGTCACACAAAGTCCAAAAAAAAGTAAATAAAAAAGAAAGAAAGAGAAAATGACACTGACGCTCTTCGAAGGTTGAAAATAGAATTAGATCCCAAGAGTCTCAATGGTGTGCACACAGGGAGGATGATGAAGGGACTTTTTCTTTTGAAATCTTTATTTTATTGGGATATATTTGTGAAAATGAACTGTAATGAACTGTTTAAAAGATATGCCTCTTTTCTTAGGAAGTCTAAGCACACAACAGGAAATGAATATTACTACTGCTACTGCTATTGATATAAACTCTTCTACTACTTCTGGGTTACTGTTAGTGACAGATATTAAGCTGCTGCTACCCCCTTGACTTTTATCAGTTTGGTCAGATTTGTTACTATATGTACTTATTTACAAGATTAATTTGTATTTCTATTTGTAATACTGTCGTTTAAGTTAATCAAAGTTTTACTGTGAAAGCAGTGGAGACCCACACGTTCCAAACTAAATGAATAAGACACTCTGAAATAAATGACAGTATGTACATTTCCCCCCCTACATTTCAGGTTTACATTAAAAGAGTTTATTCTAAATCATTTCACTTAATTTCAGCAGTTTTTATTTTAAAATATATGGAGACATAAAGTGTTCAAAATTAACTAAATTTTATAAACAAATAAGATATTATGAAATAAATAATCACATGAATAAATACAGAGAATATATATAATGTTATTTCACCATTAAAGGAGTATATTTATATATATATATATATATATATATATGGATAATAATATATGGGTGGCACGGTGGTATAGTGGTTGTCGCCTCACAGCAAGAGGGTTCCTGGTTCAGTCCCAGGAGGAAGCCCTTCTGTGCGGAGTTTTCACGTTCTGCCTGTGTCAGCGTGGGTTTTCTCTGGGTACTCTGGCTTCCTCCTACAGTCTAAAGACATGCAAGTTGGGGATAGGTTAATTACTACATTATTATAATTATTACTGTAGGTGTGAATGTGAGCATGAATGGTTGTCTGTCTCTATATGTCAGCCCTGCGATAGTCTGGCAACCTGTCCTCTTGTCCAGTGTCTGCTGGAATAGGCTCCAGCCCCCCCGCGACCCTCAAGAGGATAAGTGGTTGCGAAAACAGATGGATGGATAATGAATCATATGAATCAAAGGTGTTGCGATATATTGCTATTGACGATACACATGATAACCACTATATTAACAAATCAAATACTGATATCATGTTATTGATATAGGCTACATATGATAATTTTGTGTAAATAATTCAATGCCTGTCATCTTTTTTAGCCCCAAATATTTCATAGACATCACAATAATATCGTTATTATAAACTCTTTTGGCCTCAATAAGCGTGTAGTGAAAATCTAACATCTTTTTGGCCCTGATATGAATAAATACAGACAAAATAATAAATCAATCCAAAAATCTAAAACAGATCCAATGCAAAGTCAGCTCATTAACAGATGTTCAGATGTTCTGATTGAATAATAATAATAAAATACAATAAAAACAGACTCTGGAAAAAGTTATTTTTTTCAACAAAATGTACTAAACCTTATTTATTTACTTTATTTATTTTTAATTCTAAATAGCACATTAGGTCTCCAGACTAGTTGGGCCTCATTTTTCTATTAACACCAAAGTTTTGCTGGGATTAACTGTATTGTATTATTTTAAAACTTCACTGTGATATAGTTTTTTTTATATCTGTATTTCTTTTATGTTTCATACATTTATTTGGAACACTTTGTGTCTTCATACATGTCCTCATCTAACCTTAAAAAAGCCTATTAGCCCATAGTGCACTGGTGACACACTCTCCATGTGGTGATTTAACATCTACTGTAAAGGCAACTTAGTCTATTTATGAATTTTCTAGTATCATGTTAATTGGATGAGGGCATTAAGCATGCAACCAACTGTGCACTAGAATTCAACATGCATGCAAAAGGAAGAGACACCATGTGATTGTAAAGTTTGCAATTGAGCACCTCAGCAGACGCTGGCACTCACAGGCTGTGAATTCTGATATCAGAGCACAGATACAGAGAATTATACTGATTCTTTATGGGCTAGGTGTTTGAATGTGTATGGTGGACATAGTGTGTGCAGGAGTGAAAGGTCAGGCGATGGTAGACGTTTGTTATGTGTATACACGGACTGCTTCAGCTGCTGCTGGACATCAAGAGGCTGCCTGGCAGGACAGAGTCGCAGCAGGGTCAGCTGGCTTTTTATAGGACCAGTCATTTAAAGACAGAGAGAGTGAGAAGCCAGGTTCACATGGCATCTGATCAGCAATTACATAAACACAACATGCAACATAGCAGCAGAACATTTGGAGTTCCCCTTCTCATCTGAGAATGAGACCCACATACTGAAGGGCTCAGTTGTGTTAATAAAGAAGACAGATAGCCTGTCATCTCATAGTCTAGAGGCTGGAGAAATGTGCCTCTGAGTGGAAGGTAGTTTATTTATTTATTTATTTTTTTTATTAATTGCAAGACAAAGGAAAGAACATTGACAGACAGTACAGACAAGACAAAACAATGAATACAGGACAGAGCGATTGACCATAGAAGAGCAATTTGTCATTCTGGTGTTGTGCTTCATGTGTATGCGTGTGTGTGCGTGTGTGTGTGTGTGTGTGTGTGTGTGTGTGTGTGTGTGAGTGTTTGTGTGCATGCATGCGTGCGTGTGAGAGTGCATATGTAGTGTATAAGGCACGTAGGGAAGAGAGAGACAGAGAAAAGGGTGAGTATGGGCAGACAAAGATAAATAAATGACATAATAATAAATAACTATAATAATAGTTAACAAAAATCACACATTCACACAGACAAAAAAGAAATAAATAAATGAAAAAAAAAATTT